CCCTAAAGACAATTTGCATTTTAAGGCGTAAAAAGCATACCGAATAAAGCAATTATCACTGAAATCATGCAGAAAAGTTTACAACATACCTGGACCTTCAAGTAGCAAAATAACGTCATATGCATACTTGAAATCAGATAACTTGAGATCTGGGAGCATACCGACGCCGATATCCTCGCATGTGAAAATATATTTTAAGCAACTCCACTCTGGTTCTCACGTGTGCACTGTTCACGTACGGCAGATAATCAACGAAGTATCGTGCCTGTGAGAACCTCGGAAACGATGTTGATGAGACTCAGTCCGTCACAAGAGGACTTCTTAGAAATTAGCAAGACGGCCCATTAGCACTGTTCAGCCGAAACTTGGTCCCACCCCAATAATGAACGGAGGACTAAGTCTGAACCTCAGTGGTTAAAACCCGATGCGGACAATCCATTTTCATTTTTATTCTCACTTCCTTTTATGATACAAGGGAGAAGCGGCTAATCAAGGGGCTGCCATGCAACAAACAAATGGGGGAAGACAGGTGGGATTCGAACACACGTCCACCGGGGTGATAATTTGGTGACGTTACCACCGGGCCACCATCGAGGTCAAGAGCCGAATATCTCTGAGATAACTTAGTTCCCGCGTAAACTCCATTTCAGAACGACTTATATCAATTAGTATTAGTTAAATCGGGAGCAAATAAATCTAATGTCAATCGATACCAGTTGAACTGCATCTCAAGATGCAATTGATGTACACTGATTAGGACGGCGTTGCAATCACATTGTATTTTACCTTACTTACGCCTACTTTTCATCGGCCCATTCCCTTAATTAGACGAAACTGATCGCATCTATTACCACTAGCCGCAGCCTCCCCCCTCCTTAACACTTTGCTATCTTTCACATTTCTTGCGATCATTCCCCATGCTCTTGATGAGTTGGCATTTAAGGGATCCGTTTGAACGTCCGGTAAATTAGCAGAGATCGAGGAGATGCAATCAGAAATGGACACATTAGATTTGCTTATCTAATCATGGCGCATGAGTTTGATCTTGCTTTTATTACGAAGTACCTTAATCGATATAGTGCGTTATCTTAAGAATTTGTGAAGTGTGTGTGCGATGTCGCGACCCGGGGTATTGACAATCAATTTTCACAGCCCAGAGATTATTAATTGAAACTATTGGTCACACATGGAAGTGAATGTGCACTATCGCTACTAAAAAATGTGCCAAAGGAGAGCTTTTGATTCGCACCAGAACAAACTTTGATCACTAAAATATAGATTAGTTTATTGTGATGAAATTCTGTTTGACCACAAGACCATACCGTTGAAAATTTACAGTTCTTGATTTTAGCAGAAAACGTCATCGATTGAAAGACCATACATCACATTTCACGATTGGGGTACTTACACATACAACATCGATCTTTTTGAGAGCTAGATAGTCAGGTTTATGGATGCAAACTGATATGAAAAATAAAATACAAGGGGAGAAAGGCTAAAAACGATAAAATCCTAGAAGATACAACTTTTGAAACAGAAAACAATCACAGAGGAACAGTGCAATCAGAACTCACGAATGAGCGACACAAGGTACAACGAAGACCTCGTGATTGAACTCTGACAACGATAGATCCTGCAGTAAAACAGAGAAAAGTTATCAGTCTTTGTGAGTTGGTTTTAAACTTTTTTGACGGCAAAAAGAATGCCATCGGTGGCTATGGTGAATATATACTATTCTCACTCACAAGGGTTATTCGCCCAGGTTGTGTTGTGTATTTACTGTTACAGGTGATTTGACAAATCAAGCACATGCACGGCTTGTACAAAGAATTGCAGATAATAGCCCCTCCCTACAAAGGCAGATTAGTTCTAAACAAGAAAAATTTTAAAAAAACAATTTTCGATTAATAACGGTAAGGTAGAAAAAAGCATGAACAAAGAACGAACACATTTATCAGATAAGCTAGTGAATGCTCTACCAGTTCAACCCACGGATTGTCAAAACGAAACTACGGACCGCCAGAAGCAATGCCGAGAGATCAGGGTACTTTTCGAATAATCCAGTTCCATCAGGAAAGCAAGCCTGCAAAAACTATCACACATTTTAGACCAACCAATTGGCATGGCATCACAATTCTGTTATCCCGGGGATTCCGAACCGCGCGTTTGGTGCAATCAAGTTTTGTTTATGTATCAACTTTTCTTGCGGGGCCGTCAGAGTCACTAGTTAGTTGAACGCAACCTTGTGCGCATACGAACCAAATCAATAATTTGAGGATGGAGAGAGAACAAATGACCTGTGTATGTAATTGCAAAACAGATTAGAAGTAAAGTGAGTATGCATGTATGTGTAGGCAGGCAGACTACCGTATTTCGTAATTATCTTACCCTCATTCTTAATGTTCTTACTTCGTTTTTGAGCATTTTAATCCAACCTTATGGCTTCGGCATTCAAGCATAGTTTTGACCCTATTAACAACTAGTTTACCAAGAGATAAAACCGGACGTCCTAGCAATGATTATTAAGATGTTAGAAAGGGAGATGGTGTACGGTAGTGAGTGGTACGGTACAGGGTATTCGTATTTTATGTAATCTACTGTCTTACTTTGAGGAGGAACGGCTCTATGCAGCAAATGAATTTGAACAGTTCTGACGATGATCGGTCCAGTTTTATATTGCACTTTTGTTACAATCGCCTGAATCCAGACTGAGAGTGAAATAAATCAAAATACAGAAGTTTTCATGGCAAAGAAGTCAGTCCATGATTTGCTAGTGAACGAAACACTTATAGGTTTTACCTCACCAAAGCAGGTAAAGTTTCTTGGTAAATTCACGAGAGGAAACCTTTGGTTAACCAAACCCGATCACGAAAGGCAGCGGGGCGGTATGTGAGAACCGCAATCCATTGATAGCCGGTGACCGGTTCGTCGGATTATAAACCCTCTGGACGAGGTTAAGCTTTCAAGCTGTCCAATACACCTCGACCATCAATCAAGTTGAGGATCAACGCCAGAACCGGGAGAACGTGTGACGGGTTGATTTAGAATCAGGAATCTTAACAACTCGTCCGTGCCAGTGATTCACCAACACGATTATAGCTGCAAATATTGAATTTTTCATCGTCAAATGAAGACGCTGGGTTGAGCGCCCTCAACATAACACATGGTCGTATTGGAGATGTTCTCGAGATGCGAGGGAAGAAAGGCTAGTGACAACCAAAAACAACCAACTCTGATCACGCTGAGGCAATAGGGAGAAGCGATGTGTTGGTATATGTACTAGTTAGTTGATTAGACAAGGGGTTTAGAGACTCTACGATGTTATGAGATACAATATCCGTGCACGAAAATTCCGGTCTTCAAATCCTTGAAAAGAGATAAACAATTCTTTACTACTGCAGACATTTATCTGCTCATGTATATATATATCGCACTCGTCTGTGTGCCAAACAAATCATGGTACAATAATCTTTATAGCAACAAAAACGTTCCATGATTTGCATGTGGGCTGAATACTGGCAGGCTGTCCAGGCCAAAGGTAGATGAATTTTCTTGGGGAATCCACAACCGGAGCCTTTGGCTAGCCAAAGCCTGACCCGCAAGGCAGCGGGGCGGTGTTTGAAAACTGCAGTCCATTGGGAGCCGGTGTTCAGTTCATCGGATCATACGCCTTTCGGACGGGGTCAAACGTCCAAGGTGCTCAATAAATCTCGATGCCTTATTGGGCCGGTGACCATCGCCACAACCGGGAAGGTGTGTGGTTCGTACGACTCCTCTTGGTTGGTTTGAAATCAGGGGTTTTGGCCAACTCCCCTAGGTGAACTAGCTGTGTTCCACCAAGTTGCTGAATCTTTATCAACCATCACGACGTAATTGCAATCACTCCAACTGATCGATCGTGGGCATCACTCAAGTTTCGGGAAACTGATCGTTTGATTACACAAGTGGTTATTATGCTGGATACGCACAACGGACCGACACCATTGGGATGCGGAGGCCAAACATAATGTCACTATTAAAAGTAACACTAACTCTCTGCATTTTATGCATTAGTCATCCCGATCATCGGGGCTTTGGTCTATAGCCACACTCATAAGCTAGAGATGTCATTATCAATAGGGCTTATTCTAAGCTGCACCATATTTTATGCAGTACTGCAGTTCACTTTCTTTCCTGAACGAGTTGGTTAGATCGAGTCAACCTAACTACCCCAGCACTTTTCGCAATAGTGGAAAGGGTTTGAAGGGAAGGCAAGGCAAGGCTAGACTGCCATGGACAGAGAATGCGGTAATCGGAAAGTGAAGAAATAAATGCATTGTCAAACGCAGTTGGTGGTAGGCAGCTTTGATGTCGTCCGGTTCAATACCATGCCTAACCTATTGGGGCCTTATGTGGTTCGCCACTCCAAGTACTGGGGCTTAGATTACCGATTTCCATCACTAAACAACAGGTCCTAGTGACTATGGGGTTTACCCCATCTGCTGTTTATCACACTAACGTGTGTAGTAAAAAAATCAGGATACAGTTCATTTGTTGAGGTAGCCATGTGCATGCAATGCTCACGTTTGAGTGCAAATAGATTGGAAAATCTTCATCGACGGTGAAGCACCAAGGTCATTTATAGCTATTTCCATTCCCAGTGCGTAAAAAGACCAATAATGATGACTCGCCCGATGATTGGGCAAATCAAAAAGTTTAATAAAGTTAAACAGTTGCGACTTGATTTGTGATTTGTTTGGATGAAAGAAGAAAACCGTGGAAGAAAACCACGGCGTGAATAGAGAACAAAGGAAAAACCAAGGCAATTGGGAGTAAAAGCTGGATATATTATGTTTTATATTTTCACGCACGTCTGAGTTCAGACCGTGTGCCACATAAATTAAGGTACAATAATCCTAATAAAAGAAAAAAGGTTCATGATTCGCTGGATAGGAGACAAGTGAAGACACCGATCATGATAAATCCATGATGGACTATCATTATCGATGTTTTTAAAAATCCCAAAAAGATCTGCAAAATAACTTGTGGTCGCAAGTTCCCCGCAGCTTCTGAGATTACAAAGGAGAGAGCGAGTCAATCCTAGACTCAACATTCAAATTGGTGTTTGTATTTACACCACAGCAGTACGCCTCGGAGCCTAGACTGCTTGCTTCCTTTACTCAGCATTCATATGTGCAACAACACAATAAGAAAAGTGGGTAAATACCATCGATCATCGAATGGTTCTGGGGCATTGCTTAGTTAGGGCAGGCCGATGTACGACTGGCTCCTGAGGTGAAGAAACTTCAAAATAAGCATTGTGAAATCAGTCACACTCGACACGTGCATAATTATGGTTCAATCACCAAATCAATCAAATTAAGCAATTAAGTCGTTCACACAACCAACAAACGTTGTTGTCACATAGGTGAAGCAAATCTGGTATTAGAAAGCAGGAATAACGGCGAAGAAACTTCTAATTTTATGACTATAAAAGCAAATGCTTCACGCACCCAGGAGGCCGAAGGTTACCAAAAGTCAACGGTCAATAAAGCTGTGCGCTCCAGATCGCGCGCCACTAGGAGAATTGTCACTTGATCGTTTAAAAACTGCAGGCCAGTGTCCACATTTCAATAACCTACCCTGGAATCCCAACCGGACATCGAGCGTAGTGTTGAGCCATCCAATACGGGAAGGTTGAGGCGAGCATTTGGTTGTTTTGCATTTAACTGAATCTGGGCCACTATATCCGGTTTGGTGAGCACGATTTGTTCCACCAGAAGTGCCATGCCCAAACCTGAACCATTATTTCAAACAATAATAAACGTGAAATTAGAACAGTGAACAGAACAGGATAAAAAATAGATTGTTTCACTGTGCAAGAAACACAGAAGTCAGGTTATAAAAGTCTTAGCAAACAGTACTCACAATTCTGAAACGAAAGTGATGTCGGTGATAAGCAATGTGAAGTTCCAACGATGTCTTTTAGGTGGACCGTGAGTCTAACAAAATTCAACCTGGCTCACGTTGAGACCATCTCCTACCTGGGCAGCTGCGTGACCAACGATGGTACAGTAGTAGGAGAGGGGATCGCACCCAAAGCTCGAGTGGTGGACGCAGGACTGGAACACCTCTGAAGGTAACGTGACGTAACGAAACGTGTATGATGAGAAAAACTTTAATGACCCACATCTTCCAACATACCTGAATATCATCATCATCATTGGACAGCGAAATACAGTGAGGCGAACTTCACTGATCGCTGCCAAACTCCCAATGCATACAAGGTTAGTGGTAAAATTTAAGGTGGACGGGGATTGGACCTATTTTGAGGGAGGGGGAAGAAGGTGAACCTCTATGGTCAAAACAGAGTACGCAATCGAACTCGGCATACATTCCGCTTCAAGCATTCTGATATGATAAGAAACGACAACAAGAACGC